GCAGCCACGGCCTCGACGTCCTTCTTTCCATACTTCTCTGCAATCTTGTCGACGCAGGCCACGGCCGTGTGCTTGTACTTGATGTCGTCCGTATCGCGGATGGCAGCAGTGAGCTGTGGGAGGAAGGCGAGGAGGGCGGTTCTGGATGTGACATTCGCGACATTCTCCTGGTCCACGCGGACCTCGAGGGCACGAAGAACCTTGCGTCGGAGATCGATCTCTGTGCGATCCAAGAGAGTCTCCACTGACTTGATAAACTCGCCGATGGACAGAAGGTTGAGAAGGTTGGCAAGGGCATTGCCGCAGCACTCGTGGAGAGGCTTCTGCTGCTTGACAGTCTCGGCAAGAGCAAGGACGTCTCGCAGAAGGATTGCATAGAGCTCCCGAATCTTGGAGGCATCCATGTCGTCCTTCTCTGTGAGGATACCAACTTCTTTCCGCAGCTTTCTGCTAGACAGCAGAGCAGGGAACACAGTCAGCTGTTGGAGGGCCGTGGCCTCGGGCTTCTTCTCAGACATGTCTTCGCCGACGCCAAGCAGAGTGGCTGACAGGCCCGGCTTAGGCTTGAAGATGTCGCTGATCAAGTCCAAAAGCTTCGCCAGAGTCTGAAGCTGTACCTCCGCGCTGTAGACGCCGAGCAGCTCAGAAGCAAACGCCATGAGGCTATCGCTGGGGCCGTACCTATCGACCAGCATAGCCAGCAGGGCATATAGGAACTCATCAGGGCCAAGGGTGTTGACAAGAGCGATGAACAAACCTTGCTTGCGGTGAGCCGGGATGTGTTCGTACGCGGTAACAAAGCTTGCCAAAAGCTCGGTGGCACCAGCAACTGGGTTGCGCTTGCCCTTCTTCAGCGACGTCATGAGCGGCGGAACAACCTCTCTGATGGTCTGGTTGACCACGTGAGCAGAATAGTCATCGTTCTGGCGCAGGACAGAGGCACCCATGAAAGTGAAAATGGGCATCACACTATGAAGGACCAAATCAGGGGCGGCCGTTGCCAGGCTGGCGATCAGCAGGAGGGCAGAGTTCTGCACAATAGGGCTAGAGGACTTCTGGATGCAGTTGACGAGCAGGTCACCATGGCCACCTGAGCTGTCGATCTTCAAGCTCTTATTCTCTCTGTAGGCAGGTACCATAGCAATCAAGCTAGTAAGAACCAGGTTCTGCAGGTATCCCAGCTCAGATCCAATCACGGTTCGGAAGTGCTGCAACTCGGATAGAGTGCCAAAAAGGCTATCAAGGAGCTCTGGGTGAGAAGCCGGGTTGGAACCTTCGACGAGTTGAAGAACAAAAGTCACTGATCTCAGCGTTGCGCTCAACTCAGCGCTGGCTTGAGCACTTGTTCCACGGTTGGCCTCAGAGGAGCTCGTCCTGCGCCTCTTGTTTGGCGGCGGCTCAGTAATGAGCTTCGTACCAGTCTGGATTGACTCGAGGAAAGAAGACAGAATCTCTGTGGTGAGGTCAACATTTCTGAGGAAATCGGCAGCCTCGTCGGCAATGATATCCTCATCGTCCTGGGATACTTGCCGAGCTTGGGAGAGCTCCAACATTGTCTGTGCAACATCGAACTTAGTGTCGGCCTTCATGGAGTTCCAAATGGCACGTATGCGTGCCGAGATAGATCTGACAAGCTCAGGACGCTTCGCAGACTCGGGGTTCTTCATAGTAGAAAGAAGGCATTCGAGTCCGTCGCTGTCGTTTGGAACAACAATCTCGGCGAATCTGGTGTGGAGCAAGGATTGGTCGACCTCCTCAGCGTCGCAAAGACGAACAGTCTCCTCTGCTGACAACGCTGCCCACCATTTGAATGCAGGCAGAAGCACCTTGGTCCTCGAGGTGGATGACACTCCCTTGATCCGGTTCAGGATAGAGAGAAGGTTGGATTTGACCCGGAGAAGAGGCGTCGCAACGATGTGGCTGGCAAGGAAGGAAAGGATAGCAATTCTGTTTGCTTGAGTGAGAATCTTCTTGCCCTCGCCGCTCTCGGACTTGGCACTGCTGTCGAGAGAAGAATGCAAGATGGCGCGGATATGGTCTTCGTGCATGATGCATTCCTCGATCGACGGAAGAATAACACCGTGGAGCAGGCGGGAAACTGCATCAGCGTCCATCCAGTGCAGCTTGGCGCTGTCTTCATACACATTCTTTCCGCCCCAGACAGACTTCTTTGCCGCCTTCGACTGAGGAGGGAAGATCTGGCCAAGCTGAATCAGCAGCTCCGCAGCAGCCCGGCGAACCTTCTTGGAGGAATCGACCAGAGCGATGAGGCAGTAAGGGATGAGGGCTTGGAAGTCGAGATCATTTCCATCCCCATCACTAAGACGTTTCTTGACGGCGTCCACGGCAGCAGCACGAGCGAGCGTTGGGTATGGGCCGGACCAAATGCGAACGAAGAATGTGATGTAGGTGTGGTCGCTGACGGCGGTTTGGCGGCTAAGAGAGGGCAACTCGTCAAAGTTGGCAAGAAGAGTCGGATCCTCGGATTGCTGCGAGACGACACGGAGGAAGAGCTGGCTGAATTCGTCGTAAACCTCTCCCGGGCTGGTAGAGAGGCAAGACGGGAGGGTGCGCTTCTGAACAGCGAGCTCCCGGATAGTCTGGTGCAAGTCCTCCTTCGTTGGGGCAAGGGCGTTGGTGCCGTTCATATCGACATCGTCCTGGGTTTCGGGAAGTGCCTTCTTCTGCCTGATTGAGACATCCAGCTTCATCTCCAACTCCTCCACGTCGAAATCGACCTCTTCAAGAACGGTTTGGATGATCTCGCTCGTTTCGCCCGAGAAGCGGGAAAGGTCAATCAGGGTCGAGCCAAGCTCCTTACGAATTTCGCCGTTCTTGTCCACCTCGTCGTCCAATCGGTGGGCAGCCAAGACCAGGGACTTGAAAATGACAGCGACCTGTTTGTGCTTCAGAATCTGGCTCATCAGGATAACGCGGATAATCGGGAGACCACGAGCATCGCCCTTTTTGCACAGCCTCTCGATGAAGGCAATGCAAAGACCGTTGGTCATCTTGTCAACTCGTCTTTCCTGGCCCAGCTCCACCAGAATTTCGCCCAGGTTCTGTACTTTCAGGAGAGCCTTGGTGACCTTGGCGGACAACTGCTTAGCAGATCGGTATTGCGCAAGGATGCACAAAGTCACTAGCCCGGGCCGCACAGTCTCGGTCGTCCAGCCCTGCACAATCTGCTCCATGAATGCTGACAGAGCCGCGTCTTCAAAGGTTCCCTTGGCTGCAACAACCGTGACGGCCATGTAAGAGGCGATTTGCATGTTGGGCACCTTCTTCATGAGCAGAGCCTCACCGAAGATACGGCCCACGCGTGTCAAAAAGGTCTGGTTGTTCTCGCTTTGAATCGCCTGGCGGCCGGATCGCATATTCTCAAGCATACCATTGACTGCCTCAGTCATGATACCACCCCAGAAAGACACCAAAGTCGGGTATTGTTGCAGATTCCTGCAAGCCTCGAGCGTGTATTCGGAGAGGGTCTCGAGGAAGGCAAACTTGTGAATCGACTCGTGAACCAGAACGGATCGGGGAGGACAAGTCAGAGACTTAATGTACGGGCTCAAGAATCGATATTCTTGCGGGATCTGAGAGGGCAAGATCGAGAGTACGGTAACGAAAGCGGGGATCGAGTGGTACGGAAGGAAGGTCGTGATGAGGGATCGGGTGTTGTATTCGTGGATTCTGCCTTTTGGTTAGACGAGTTTACGCGGCAAGATATAGTCCAACATACCGGAATCTTCTCACCAACCACTCAAGGGCTCTGATCGCAGGCATCAGGCGCAGCCTGCTGCCAATAAGGCGCAGGAAAGACTCGACTTTCTTATCCAACTCCTCATTTTCAGCTGCTGTCATCTGCGTTCGGTCTTCGCTCTGGCTTTGCTCGCTGAATAGCGTGAGGGCAAAAGGCTTGAATCGGCCGTCGAGTTCACACAGCTCCTCGAAGCCTTCTAAACATATCGTGTAAAGGGTGTGGTAACTTTGCGTCGCCGCAACTCTTGGCTCGAAGATCAGGGACTTGGAGTGGGCAGCTTTTTGCGCCTTGACGTCCAAGGAGGCCTTCGAGTTGGCGGCAATCTGCGCCAATTGCGCAGCGAGAGAGGACGCCATATCTCACAGAAGTTGCGGCGTGCCGCGGTGATTCAATTAACAACGGCGGGGAGTTCGTAAGAACCGGGACTGCGACTGGGACTTTTTTTTTTCTGAGAGCCTGTACCTGAGCGTTCGCGATGGATTTTTTTTGGACGGATATTAGTTTCACCGACTATTTTGCGGTGATAAGCTAGACGGCCAATCGATAAGCTCGTAATGCAGAAGCGTGGGGCCGACCATCACCCCGCCATCCATTTCCACACCTGCATTTTTCCATCTCTTGTTGAAGCTTGGAGCTGTATGTAGCTCAGCACGTTGCTGAGGTCCGACACTCTTGTGCAAGACTTGCCCATCTTGGTTTGCATCCGATGATCCGAACTACGATATCTGAGATAGCATATGATCTTGAGCGGCTACTTCGTCACGAAACACCAAAATGTTCCAACTCAAATACGTTCGTTCCTCGGTCGATTTTACACGCCTATTGAAGGGCCAGTGCATGCGACCACGTCTGGTGACAAGACTGTTTGTATTGTTGTTGTTTGCTGCAGTGCTGGTTTGCTGTTTCGGTGCGACTAGAGCGGCCATTTCGTGCGATTGATAGGCCGATAACCGCAACCCCCAGGAAACAAACGACCTAGCTGTATCGTGCCTTCGGCTATGCGGGTGACCTGCCGTACAAGTGGCTCCGTTGATCGTGGATGCTTGGGGGGGGGGCCTCTTCAGTCTCGCTGCAGCAAGGGACATATAAGACCGAGCCAAAGACACGGTTAAGTGTTCAATCCGTCCGTTTGGTTCAGCAACCTTGTCTTGCTTTTCAAACAGAACGTAGAGCTACATAAACACTCACTCCCTCAAGCTTTTATCCGACTTTTTGGCCACGCCACAACCCGGATTCAAGAATGGCTGTAAGTCAACAGCCCAGTCTCTTTGGTTAAAGAGACCGAAACTGAAATATACTAACCAACCAGAAACCGTACCCCCAAATTGTGCTCTTCGGCGACTCCCTTTTCCAGGGATGTGCTCATGTTTCCGACGGTTTCTCTTTCCAGGCCTCGCTTCAGTGCCGTAAGTCACTTTCTTTGGAATCGTAGCGCCGGGGCCAGAGCTCACTGTAGTGCGTCTCGTTAGATGTGATGCGTCGTTTCGATGTCGTCAACCGCGGCTTTTCAGGCTGGAACACAGCCAACGCATTGAAGTACCTGCCTGACATTATTGCCCCGCCTTCGGAGTCTGGACCGCAGCTCAGGTATCTTCTGGTGCTACTCGGTGCGAACGACGCCGTCCAGCCAATGGAAACGACAACTCAGGGTGTGCCTCTGGCGGAGTACAAGCAGAACTTGCTGGAGATTGTGACACACCCCAACATCACGGCTCACAAGCCCAAGATTCTTCTCGTCACCCCGCCGCCGATCGACGAGATTCGCATTACCGAGCTCGATCTGCCCTGGGGCCACCCGAAGCCCACGAGGACCGCAAAGATCAGCGCGGAGTACACGCAGGCGGCCCGAGACGTTGCGGCCGAGGTGCCTGGTGTGACGCTGATCGACCTGTGGGCGGCGCTCCACGACTACGCCGGCCGCAAGACCCCCGGCCTTGTCAAGGACGGAGGGCCTTTGCTTGGTACTCCGGAGCTCGGTAAGCGGGGCGGTCTGGCGGCACTCCTGCCGGACGGGCTGCATATGAGCGGAGAGGGCTACAAGGTCTTTTATAAGATAGTGGTTCCTCACATCGGTCAGGAGTACCAAGGCCTGCCCGAGGATGACCGTACGGACTACGTTCACCCGGACTGGCGAGACGTCAACCCCCCAGCTTGAACAGCAACACGAACACTTGGAATGAAGGAAGGAGAGCAGTGGCCGGGTGGTTGGGGGCCAGTGCGGGAGATTTTAACCGTGTGTTCTGCATGGTAATTTCAAATCGGAGGGCGGACATGGAAGACTGAACAGTCCTAGACCCTTGAAATCGAATCTATTCTAGACGGCGATGTACATGAAAACGAACGAGTGACAACTTGGCTGGTGATGATGAATGCTATGTATCGTGATCTTGTGTTGCCAAGCGGCCCGGTGGCAACAAAATCGATGCATCTGTGCCGTAGCATAGCATTGTGCAACACATTGGTGAGCGAGTGTGGACGATATTCAAGCATCATTGATGGGGGGCTGGCAGATGAGCGAGAAGGCATGAGTCTCGTCGTCATTCACAGCGGGGGTTGAGCTTGCACCGCCGTCTTGAATATCCACCACACCTTGCGACTTGATGGACGGGGTTGGAAGAAGTGCAGCGATCGAGGGGGATTGCTTACCTTTTGCCATAGTTATGTGCCTGGGTAGGTAAGTACCTTGATTTGAAAGGTAAGGCAGGAGAAGGAAGGTAAGAAGGGCGTGTGCAGGACGGGAGGCATTGGCATCTCAGCATCGGCGGCTTTAGAGTTTGTCTGTCTGAGGTGCAGCGTAGTGAAAGTCAAGTTTGCTGTGCTGTTGCGAAATGATGCTTCCACTTTCCATCCAGCACGCAGCAGCACGGGCAGGCAGACACTCTGGAGTCTTCAGCACGTCCCCTGCCCTGCGCAGAACACGAACCCCCCGCCCCAATCAGCCCCTCCTACAGCGTCACACCTCCCAGCGCGGCAAATCACTGGTGGCTCCTGCCCGGACAGGCTCGCCCGTTTGCTCAGGTAGGTAAGGTACCTAAGGTAAGGTACCTTAGGTAGGTTGCGATGGAACCTGAGGTGCAAGTTCCAGCTGGTGGAGGGCAACTGACTGGACCTGACGACTTGGCCTCGCAGCTCCACGGGTGTTCCTCCACTGCAATTGACACGACGGGGTGAAGGCTACACCGCACCAGACATGCTGCCCCGCCAAGGTATCCCTCAAGTACTGCTGGTGCCCGGCTCTAACGCCGTGCTGCCAGTGCATAGTACTAGTTTACCCGTGTCGCTTCGATAATTCCCAGCCACACAACACTGTGGAGAGATGCCGCTGGCTCCAGAGCAACCTGAATTGTGCATGCACTTCGACTCCATTCGATACAGTGGTACTTCGACGTTACCTCAATACACCGACTGGCCTGTCCATCCACTCCCGCCGCCTGCCCTTCACCTCACCACCTACCTACCTTACCTTGTGGTGCTTGGTTCCTGTCCTCTGTCCTGGCCCGACTCGTCCTGTCCACTTCACTAATCCAGTCCCGACTCCCAGAGCATCTAACCTCCCACCAGACTTCATTGTTTGTCTGCCCATCTCCTTCACGCCCTTTTCTCTCCGCTTCTTTCAAAAGCAAACCCCCGAATACCAGACACGAATACTCCCATACGTAACCTCGAATACTGTTCCCTCCGACCTCAGTTGACAAAACTCGTCCTCTGCAACAGCATCTCTCCCGAATAATCCACGACCGCCGCTCGATCCTTAGCAATCCCACCCTTCTGGGCCTCCTTGTGACGACTACGCTTTGTTCAGCGCGCCTTCTACTACAACTTGTTTCTCTCCTCCCGATTTCGCACTCACGAACGCACGTCGGGTCTCGCAAACTTCTATCCTTTTCAGTAGCGACTCGTGTCGAAATCTTGCCGACGCTCACACGCAAACCTGCCTAAAGCTGCCCACCTAACGGGCAAGTCCGTCGCCGGTGATCGTTGTGCAACCTCGCAATACTGCCGCCATCGCGCTCTAGCTGCCGCAGTCGCCCAGACCGACTGGATTGTGGACAGACGCTGAAATCAATTCGACAAGGACTCGCTGACGCGCCTGCTGCCGCCGCCGTTGACGACCTCTTTGGTCTCGCTGTGCGATGTGGTGGGGGAGGAGGACCTCGTGAACTGATACTGTAGGGATCGAGGTCGGAAGAGCCCACCGTCTTCCCTCGAGCCCTTCATTCGAGAATCGCCTGTACCTCCTGCGCAGTCAGTCCATGGGCATTCTCCCATCCGGATGATCTCAGTTCTCCCTGTTGTGTCGATACCCTCTTTCACGCGTCTTTCTGCCACAACTTGATCCCATCACGCTCGCTCGTTGTCCCTCGCTCCTATTCCTGTCCTCATATACCCCGTGTATCTGGACTGCCTGACCTAGACTGCACAACTTCAAATCGCTGGAACCATTTCCGGGCATGGATCATCGGTTCCCAATCACCCGAGACGACCTCTTCAACATCCAGATGGATTTGAAGCAAATCCAACTGGTTCAAAATAATCAGGGCGAGAGACTTGCACGACTTGAGCGACGCCAGGACCAAGATGCCAGCCTCAAATCAGTTTGGCAGCAGCATCCGTTTCCTGGCGTCTTAGCTGGAACACCTCAGCAAGGTTGGTCTACGGACTGGTCCAGTGGGAATGTTCATTTGCTGACTCTAATCTACTAGGCCCGACCCATATATCCCCCAACGACATGTTCGACGACTTTGACGAGCAGGGCCAGCACCTGCTGAGCTCCCTACATCTTGGACCTGCCGAGGAGGAACCTGCTCGAAGAGGCGCTGCATCCCGAGCTAACAGTGTTCGCTTCGATGAGAGTGCCTTGCGAGGGGCCGACTGGGCCAGCCAGAGCAATCGTCATTCTGGGGAATTCGGCCCTCCCCGCCCAAGCAGCGGGATGATGATGGAGCGCTCCCTCTCCCACAAATCGGACGGCCGGCACAGCTCGGCAGGCCATTCCGTACACTCTTTCCACTCGGTCGCTTCTGGTCGCGCAAGCAGCCTGGGTCTGGATACCAATTTCATGGTCAGCAGCCACGAAGACGACTCTCCCCTAGAAATGCCTGAGCCTCCCCCAGGCTTGTTTATCCTCGGCTCAGTTCCTACCATCATCCGGTGCTGGCTTACGACTCAATTTGCACACAACACGATACTTTACGCCGACCTATGTACCGGGTCGCAAAAGTCTGTACTAGACTACTCGATCGTTAGGGAACTCGACCTCCTGGAAGAAGTCCAACGCGATGTGGACGGAACATTCAAGATACGGCTGCCCGTGTACTTGGTCGAAGCCACCGTCTCGGAGAGAAGTAGCCGGTCATCGAGTCCCGGCCATCAGATTCCTAGCATTCTGACAACCTTCGAGGTCTTGGGCATGGAGCAGGCTGAAGGAGCGGATCCGAAACGAGGTGTTCAAATCTTCATTGGCAGCGACACCCTGAGAGCACATCAAGCCGATATACTCTTGTCTCAGAACCGCATGTGTCTGTACGGGAGTGAGCGCGAGAAGCTCTCAGTTCCTTTTGTGCGCCCGGAAGATGAGTCTGTGTTCAAGTACATCAGCACGATGAACTTTGTTCCGGAGAAACCTCGACTCAATGCCAACGCAGCGCAATTCGTTCCTGGGGAGCCGCGGTCTCGTGCAGCTTCGACACATGAAGGAATGGAGAACAGCGTGTCTAGCATGCAGCAGGACGACGGAGAATCTCTTGGACTCATCTCCCCTATGGAAAATCACTCTGTACCCAACAAGTCGATTGGAGCAAGCAACCTGTCTGAAAGTGGCGGGGAGAGTGAGAGACCCGGCAAAGACGCTGCCAGTGGGTCTGAGTCCGGGGCCAAGGAGACCGTGGGAACGCAGAACGGCTCTGCTAGCACAGACGGCAATCGACGCGAGTCTGCCAGCGGCATCTGGGGATCATGGCGGCAAGGCACGTCTGCAAACGGCTCTGAGAACGGACAGCGGGATGCCAACGGACCGCTGAGTGGTTATCAGCCAGCCGGGCGCGGTAGTCGGAATATGAAGGTACTGAAGCCCCTGAAATCGGGGTCGTCATCATCTGCCCGAACCGGAGCTGCCTATGAGCCGGCGCCCGCCCCCAGAACCAGCGGCGAACATCGACGGAAAAGCCAGGCGAGTACGGTTTCGGAGAGTACCCCCGCGGGAACGATTCGTTGGGAGCCGAAGCGGACGGTCAGCAGCACAGTAGAATTGAAGGCTCAACGTGAAGCCAAAAACGCGGCGCCGCCGCTGCCGCGGTCGGCGAACCCGATTGGAGGAGCATCTGCCTTTTCGTGGATGAACCCAGCCTCCAAGGTGAAGCCTACGGCCACTGCTGAGTAGGCGGAAGGAGAAGCAAAGGCCCCGGCGGCAATTGATACGGAGATGGCCTGAAAGGCAAGCGCATTAATCTTCTTTTTATTTGCTTGACGGAATTGCCCCCTCCAACACGCAGAGGCGGGATGCTTCATATCGCGCGAGATGGGCCGACTGGTAGCCATGACAGTGTACCAGGTCCAATGTGAATTCCATGTAGCACAAGGGCTAGAGGAGATGACACAGCGGAAACAAAATACAAAATCGTCGACATGAACATAGGCAGGCAGTGTGAGAAAGTGCAATGATCGACAGCACATCAGTGGCGCCTGCAGAAGTGCCCCTGATAGCTTCATCCGCAGATGTTGCATGTAGACACATGTCATCGGTGCGGATACTGCACAATGTTCCGCTCTGCAACGGCGCAGTGGTCTTCCAACCAGATCAAAGGAAATTACCACCGCTACTACTTACAACGCAGAGGTACAAAACTTGTGGTGGGCGTGAGACTGCAAGGCGATGTACCTGGTATCCTAGCATCGGTCACTCAGACCGGGGCCGTTGAAGGTAAGCGTGAGGTAGGTACCGCCGCCATTTACCCCACCCTCCCCACGATCCGTTGCCCCGCGGTCCTCCTCGACATGTGGACTGGGTAACCACCAAGGTCGTCGGAGCCGAGACCGGTTCATCGACTGATCCAGAGTCACATCAGGTTCAATATTACCTCGCCTGGGACATGACAACAGCGCGAACCCTCCGCACACTGTCAATATTTTCCCAATTGCGCCGTCCTCGACCACAAC